GGGTCGAACAGGCGCGTACGGCAGAAGCGTCGGATGCGGAGGTGGCTGTGCAGGTATCTCAATATCTTGTCGTCGTTTCGTGCAGCGGTAGGGCAGACACATTCCGATGACATGGGTAGCTGCGAAGAGACGGTGTCGAGAAGGAAGGGCGGGGGGAAGAAGTACAGCGCGGACGCCTCAAGACGAGGAACAGGCGAGACGTCCTGCAACGCACGAGCCCACGAGTCGGGAACATGATAGAAGGGCGATGGGATAAAGGACTTGGATGGCTGAGGAAGAGACACTGTGAGCGCGTCAGCCGCCGCGCCGCTGTCGGCAGCCACCTGGCGCCTGCGATCCCGACGATTCTTCTTCCGCTTCTGGCCTTGTTCGCCGCTTGCAACCGCCGGCCGCATATCGAGGTGCTTCGAATGCACGTCGGAGCCGTCCAGGCGGGCTCTCTTGCCTTCCGAACGTTGCTCCGCGATGGACATGACGGCCGGTGTGTCTGTCGTCTGCAAGTCCGGAACGTGCGTGCCGCAAACGAGCTTCGAGACGGCCAACACCATTACGCGCTGCCAGTTGCCGGTAAGGTTCGCGATCCCTGCCACTACACCAGGTTCGTGATAGACAGGCGGCTCGCATGGGGTTCCAGACATATCCGCCGGTAAGGTTTTGAGCGGCACGACGCGCCATATCTTGACCGTGTGTGTGAGAGGCTGGAGAAACCACGTGGGCAACCCGATCCTAGTGCAAGTCTGGGCGCCGGTGCCCTCTCGGACGAACGTCCCCACGACAGGCAGAACTTCCCAGCTGTGATCGAGACCGCCAGACAGTCGACGGTGTACGACTTCGAGATATGTGCACATGCCGGCTAGTTCCAGGGAGATGCATTGGGCGTGGGCGGCGACGGCGATGGAGGTACGTGCGGCGGAAGGCAACTTGTTCATACGATCTAATGCCTGGCGGAGGATTGTCACAAGTACGGTACCGTGGGCGCAGTACTGCTCCGGACGATGTTGCATGGTGTTGAGAACCAGCTCGAACTTGCTTATATGCCACTCTGCTGCCATTGTCAGCCGGGTGCGTATCTCCTTCTTGATATATCCCAAATCCCTGACACCAGTTAGCGAATCTTCTTCCCACGCGGAGGTTGGCAAGAGGTTGTCCCAAAGCACTTCGTGACTTTGCATGGCCGGGCGTCGAGGGATGCAGGGTATGTGCATCATGTCAGGAACTAGGACTTGCGGCCACCGCGAATACTCCCGCAATCCCCACCTGCCGTCGGCGTACGTCTCGATGACTTTGCATTCGGCTGGATATTCGGGCACGTAGTCCATGTTCGGTGATGTGATCACCATCCCTTGGAAGAAGCCCTGCGCAGCGACCTTGCCTTCAAACGCCTGGCAAACGGCAGGAGCTGCGGAGAGGAGTTAACCTATCTGGGTGGGTGCACGAGTATGTTCAGAACCTACCTGTGGCATGCGTGTTAACTCCAAATCGGAGCGCTGGGAGGGTGGTACCACGGTCAGGGACAGGCGCAGGCGTTGACGGTGACGCGACGACCGATGCATGCTGCGGCTGTGTCGCTGCTGGTAGGGAAGGGCTGGAGTTCAGATCCCGCTACTGGTCAGTTTAGGATATACGGGCTCGGGAGTGAAGCTACTCGCCTAGATGGTAGTAAGCGAGGAGTGGTGGGTGGGACTAGAGACACTAGAGATTCGTTTCCCGTACTGTGCGATGGCCTGCGATGCAAGCGTCAGTGATCGTAAGTGACTGTTCCATGTAAATTGCTCACGGGATGCTCGGTGTGTCTGCGACGGTATGAGCCTCGCGCGGCGTCTTTTTGAAGCGCAAACCCGCCAGACCAGCTCGCATTGGGGCGCTGGCCGAGCTTGCGTCTGGACGCGGGGGCATCGTGGGATACCTGTGGCGACGGTAGATCGTGAGCTAACGCACATCTCGGAGTATGTCGGATGCACACACCGCACAGAGTCGGAAATTCGGTGACTCCGAGCGGGGAGTCCTCGTAGATTCGGGGACGTCGGGAAGCCTTGACTTGAACCCGGTACAGCGAGGATATTCCAACACCGCACACAGGGTTCGTATGGCCAAACACGTCAGGCTAGGACTATGCCGGGAGCCTTTGACGGATGGGGTGATGTATTGACCTAAGGATGACTGCATCCCACTTCGTGAGCATCGAACCCACGTTGATACGAACGACTTACGTAGCGACTCTACGAGAAGGCGGATACAGAGGAATGAAGAGTTGGGCCGACGAAGGCCCCCCGGCAGACGCAGTGGTGGCAAGTGGGAGGCGGACTGTCAAGATGACCGCCGTGGGAGAAAGCTCTCCGAAAAAGTGCGAAGTCCACGTTCCCGGGTGCGTTGGCGCTTAATGGGCGTACTCTCCACCTCTTGCCATCATGCGCGTTACCTCTCCCAGTACTACTCACGACTACTGGGCTATTGCCTCTGCTGCTTGGCACACTGCGATCTGAAAGGGCAGCGAAACAGAAATAGGACACGACAAATATACCGACCACGGCGAGGAGCGACCACATCCCGTGGGCCTGCTAGGAAGAAAGGGTACACGGTTATGCTGGTATGTCCAATTTCTCATAAACCCCTCCCCTCCTCCAATCCGGTCCACGAGAGTCTGGCGCGCTGGCAATGTGCTGCGAGCCGACTTGTCGCAAAGGGAGCATCCAGCTGGCACGGCCACCTGATGAGCTCCCTTGGGCCTCGTCAAGACATCTTTTCCCCCCCTCCCTACTCCGACTAGTGGACGATTGTGGCGGGCGCGACGATGGTGGCGGGCGCGACGACTGTGGCGGGAGCGGATGGATTGAGTGGAGATGGACAGATGCGGTGTGCACATTTGGTGAGTGCTTGTACATGCAGTACTATACGTGGGCCCGTAGCCCAATGGAAACTACTGATATCTACTGATATGTTACGCACCCACCGAACGAGTGCGATGCCCCGCTTTACATGTTCGTCGAATGGTCGCCGGAAGAAGTGGGTTGAGTGTGGGCCTTGGCCGACTCAGACGGCATTCTCGGGGACATCCAGCGACATCGTAGAAGAACGGCGTTGTGGCGAAGCTATGTATGTGAGCACACTACGTACAAACGCGGTCATCTGACCATACGTGCAGGGGGCCCCCTAAAAT